TGCCGAGGAGAGCTCGGCCGCCCCAGTTCCCTTAGTTTTGTCGAGAGGAGAGCAGATGATGGCGATTGCTCTCGCCGAAGAGTTGGAGGATTTCTAATGCCGTGGAAACATGCCAGTCGCTGTCTCTTGGGGTGCCCGGTGGTTGAGTCGCCCCATTGCGTTTTGTTGCGCCACTTGCCGTCAGCGCATCTGTTCGTATTCACACAGCCATGGAGGCCTCTCTCAGAAGTGCAACGACACGCGCAGAGGAGGCCGCGATATTGAAAACACAAGGCACTTTGACAATCTGAGGTGTCCGCAGTCGATTTGGCAAGATGTCAGATTGGAGTCGCCGGTGAACGGTTGTCTCGTTTCCCAACAATTCCACGGACGTCGCGTCGATGGCGGATGGGCCTGCTCGCCGACATGTAGCAGCAGTCAGCTCGAGTGCAGTCGCGTCGCGATTGACGCTTGGCCCAAGGACCCTCCTCTCTTGGCAGGAAAGCATCGCGCCATGGCAGCGGAGCCGCGGTGCCGCGGCTCGGCCGCCCCAGGCGCTGCCGCGCCCGCCAAGCGCGGGCAGCGTGGCAACGGCAGGGCTGCGGCCCGCGCGAGCGGGGGCTCGGCGCCCAGGCTTGCGCCTCGGACTGCGGCCAGCCCCGCGCCGAGGCGCAGGGCAGAGCAGCGGGCTGCAGGCAGCCCCGCACCCAGTAGCTGCGCACTCCGACGGCGGCGCTGAACGCCCGGCTGCAAGCGCGGGAAAACGTCGCGCGGCAGCTCCAGGGCGAGACGCAGCAGCTCCAGCAGGAGTTCCAGCAGGCCAGGCAAGCGCTTCGCGTGGAGCCAGCGCGCCCCCCGAGCGGGGTGGTCGACGTCAGAGTGATCGGCATGCCGGGCGAGTTCGTGGGCGACGTCGCGAAGTTCGCGGACTGGAGCTTCAAGATGAAGTCCTACCTCGGCGCCGTTGCCCATTGGTACCAGGGCAAGGTGATGGAGGCAGCGCAGTCGCTGGTCACGATGCGGAACGCCACGATGGGCCCAGACGTCACCAGGCTCAGCACGCAGCTGCATTGCATCCTCGCGACGACCACGTCGGGGTCGGCACTGGACAAGTGCCGCGACGCGGGAGCGAACGAAGGCTTCGATTCGCGGCGCCAGTTCGGGCCAAAACTGAGGGGCCGGTTCGCGGGTTTCCGCGCGCGGGCGGCGGCTTGCAAGTTCACGGGAAACATCCCCAGCATTCTCGCAGACTTCGAGCGCCTCGCGCGGGACTGCGAGAGCCTGTCCAGCAAGAGAAACGAGGACGACGAAAATGTCGGCGCGGTTCTGCAGGCGCAGCGCGGGCCTCGACGCGCGCGGCCCGAGCTGCGCGAGGAGATCTCGGAGACCGCCCGGGCCCAGCAGCGCGCCGACTCGCCGCCGACGCCCGCGCGGCTCGGAGCCATCCCGCGGGGGGGCATGGGCCCGAAGGCGGGCGGCCGAAAGAAGGCAGGGATCTGAAGGGCGGCGGCAAGGGCGGCGAGGACCAGGGGGGCAAGGCCGACGGCGGGAAGAATCCGAACGGCGAGAAGGAGCGTTTCCACAGCATGAAAAATGGCAACGCGAAGTCCGAACGCAGGAAGAGACCTCGCCGCTGCGAAGAAAGGGCGAGGGCCGCTCGCCACGACTCCAGGAGCGCTGGGCGCGCCCTCCTCGGGGGCTCCGGCGCCGCCGCCGCTGGTCCAGCCGCCGCCAGGGCAGCCGCTGTCGGCGCAGCTGCGCAGCCAGCACGCGTCGACCTTCGTCTTCTAGGAGCTCTGCCCACTGCCGCAGCAGGCAGCGGCAGTGCACCAGTCGTGCCAGACCGCGACGCGGACAGACCCGCCCCGTCCAAGTGTCGGCAACGACGCGGGCGGACACGGAGCACCTCATGATCGACCCAGCAGCTGAGGACGTTTAGACAGCGGGGCCAGCGCGGCTCGCGACGGCAACGGACGAGCCGGTTGTCGGCGACAGTGGGAAGCTGTGCCGCTTCGGACTACAGGACGGCCTGCAGGTCACGGCGAATGCACAATGGGGCCGAGGTGGAGTTCCCGACCGTGAGAGTCGGGAGGGCGGCAGGCCGGGCTAATTGGTTCCCCTTAGGCCCAGGCCACCAGCGAGGCGTCTCTCAACCTCCGGTGGATCTCTCAACTTCCTAACGCGGTGAACTTGGAGAAGCGCCGCGGGACGGATTGGCTGCCGCGCCAGGTGGAGGAGCCGCGGGGCGCGACGCCCTCGTGTCCCGCGCGGCCGGCGGCTTGGGCCCAGCAGGCGCCGGCGCAGGGGCCGGCGCGCGAGCCCAAAGAGCGGGCAAAGACCACGGGCGATGGTCCGGATGCGGGCAGCCTCGCTCCGGCCCAGCTGCAGAAAGCGAAGATAGCTGCCCCGCTTCTCACCAGAAACTCCCTCCGGAAGTGTCGCAGCTCGCGATTTTGACGCCCACCGGATCGCGCACTTGCCGTTCCGCCCGCGGCGCCGCCACTGCGCAGCGGGCAAGGCCAGCGGCGGCGCCCGTCACCCGCGCCCTGACGCAACCAAGGGCGAGGCCAAGTGGGCCGCGGATCAATTCTTCCTTGCGAAGGCCATCGACCCGCAGCCGTCAAAGTCCGCGCTCAACTGCCCAGACCTGCCTGGCGGCGCCGTCTTCGCAGCGATGGCGGTCTAGGGCGGCGGCCCGCGCGCGCTGGCGGTCGCCCTCGAGGCCCTGAAATGCACGGGCCGAACGCGCGCGACTATTCGATCTCTGCGACCAGGAGAACGCCGTCAAGTAGCTGGCTGACAACGTCCGGGACAGCCGCGCCCATGAGACATCGCTGATGAACCCGCGCGGGGGGCGCCGAGCGGGCGAACCGCGAGGCCGAGAAGCAGCCGGGGACGCTCCAGTCGCGTCTCGAGCATTGCTGCAACCTGATGGTGGACTTGAAGCACAAAGTCTCGCCGTCCATGGTCAGGCACGCAGCCTGTCCAGGTCGAGGCGGACGGCGAGACGGAGTGCGAGAGTCTTCGCGGGCGACCTCATCATCGAGGGCCGTTCTCGAAGTTCGGGAAGTCCGTCTTCAACCGGGATCTGAAGAAGGCGCCCGACAATCCCAAATTCGGCGAAAGGTGGATGCTAGGTGCTAGGCGCGTGTCTCGGCATGAGCTTGGCCTCGGACGAGCACTGCGTTGGCGCCCCCGCCAGGGCGCGCCGATGTTGGCCCATCCGGAGGCGCCCTGAAAGTGCGCGCCGGGCCCGAAAATCCTCGGACTCCATGGTCGGCGAGCCTGGAGCAGGAGCTTCAAGCGGTTCGGCGCCGGGCACGGCGGGGCCAGCATCGGCGTCGGCGACGGGCAGTCCCACGCCGGCCGCTGGCGGCATGCCGGCCCGCTCCCATGGGGCTGAGCGGGGATGCTGGTGGATCCGCCCCTGTCTTGATGCCTCCCTGGCCGACGGCGCGCAGGTGGGCGCGACTGCCGAGGGTCGGAAGCGGCGTGCCAATTTTCCACGCCGAGAATATTGAGTGGCCCAATTGGACGAGTCCTTCGGACTTCTTGCCGCAGCCGAGTTGGATGACAAGGAGTGGGCCCAACAGATCATCGACTGGGGGCGCGCGCGCTGCAGGGGCAAGAGCGGCAGAGCGCTGGACAAGCAGAAAGCGGCGTCGTTGATTCGATTTCTATCGGGGATGCTCATTCGCTCGGCTTGGAGATCGTCTACTCCAACTGGTTAGACGAGAAGCCGATCGCTGAAGACGAGAAGGCAGTGGGGCGCAGGCTCAAGGCGACGCAGGCGAACGCCTGCAACCGCGCCGCCGAGGGGCAGCGCGACTGGTTGATCGGCCGGCATGATATCCGAGCGGCACTATTCCAATAAACCGCTGTGTCGAGGAGGGCGGTAATCATGCCGCTTCGCTTCGACAGAGAAAAAATCGCACGTCGCGGGCTTTCAGGAGAAGCTGTGGGCATATCAAATGTGATGCGGTGGGTATGGGGGTGGCGTGGGTCGCCTTCATCGCCGGCGATTCCCGGCGCGAGCTGGCGGGGCGCGCGAGGCCAGCAAGTGTCAGGGTAAAGAGGTCACCGACACCATGACATTCTTGTGCGCTAACCAGGTCGCAGCGGCACCCATGATGTTCGTTTTCAACCGCCTCGGGAACGTGACGCGCGGTCACGGCGACGACTGCTATGACGGCAGGCTCGGCATCCACCATCGATGATATCGAGTTGGTGGTGACGACGAACTTCGATGCGAAGATCTTGCCTCGGATCGGACCGCCGGCGCGCTGCGGCGAGATAGCTGATGGGCAGCACCTTGGGAGGGCGATCCGCTGGGCACCTGAAGGTTTCGAATGGGAGGCGAATCCCAAGCATGGGGGGCATCTCCTGGCCCTGGCAGGCCTTGACAAGGACTCGAAGAGTGCGCCGATGCCATCGTCTAAATCGACCGTGGCCAGCAGGCCCGAAAGGGGCGACGACCTGGAGGGCGAGGCCGCGACGGGCTTCAAGTAGGGCGTCGGCGCCGCGCTGTGCCTGTCCATCGACCGCCCGATCATCCAGTTCGCCACATCGCAAGTGATGGCCGGGATGGGCGCGGCGAAGGTGCTGCGCGGCCAGCAGCTGCAGCGCGTGGCGCGCCACGTGCTCAAGTGCGCGACGGAGGCGTGGCTCTTCAGGCAATGCCGGGGGGAGCTTGCGGTCTGCGCGTCTGCGCGGACACGGACTGGGACACCGACGAGGTCACCAGGAAGTCAACTTCGTGCACGGTGGCTTGGCACTAAGGGAAAAGGTATCCAGAGCTTATGTTGCTCAAAGTGTGTGGCACGCCGTAGTGGTGCACGATTGTCGCGTTTCCCGACAGTTACACGGAACACCGTATTGGTAGCGGGTGGGCCGGCACGCCGACATGTATAGCAGCAGTCAGCTTGATTGCGTTCGCGTCGCGATTGACGTTTGGCTCAAGGCCCTTCTGATTTGGCAGGAAAATCATCACGCCATGGACGCAGCAAAGACTATCCTGGCACATGAAGTCGAGCACTCGGAAGCCCTTGTGCTGGGCCGTGTTGCGGGAGATGGGGACGATCCCCAAGGGTCTGATTGAACGACGCTGCGATTTGGTGTTTGATCCTCAGTTGCGTCGCGAATGTGTATAAATAACCTTGCAGAGGTTCTCCCTGGCCCCGATGCGGGCCGCCCGCTCGAGGCACGCAGGTGCCTCGACCTCCCCCCCGGTGCCAGTGATGCGGCCGTGGCCTCCAAACTCAGTCGTACTGATGCTGGCGGGAGGGCCTGAAGCGCTTGTGCGCCTCCTGCCCGCCCCCTCGGGATCCTGCTGCCTGTCAGCTTCCGCTCGCTCGCTCGTTCTTTGTTTTGGCAGAAGACAGACGCGCCAGCACCGCCATGCGTCCAGGGGAAAAAAGGGGCGAAACCCAGGGCCCGAATGCACAGATTCCCTCGTCCCCCCCCTCGTGGATTATCCTTCGCTGCCTGCCTCCCCCTTGCTCCGCTGCGCGCCCGCCGCCCGCCTTCTGGGCTGGCGGGCCCAGCTCGACCCGCGCCCCGCGGGGGGTCCGCTGCGAAAGCGCCGCGCGCGCTTTCGGGGGCGAGGGGGGCGCAGGGAGGAGGGCGGCGGCGACGACCAGAAAGTATCCCGCATGGGGCCGAAGTTCCTCCTCGCAGCTTTCGGGCGGACGGCAGAAGGGGGGGGGCAGTGAACGTGGGGGGGTCGAGGATTGGAAGAGAGGGGCCCCACTGGGGCCCAAGGCGGCCCATAAACTGCCACCGCGGCCCAACTCGTCGGAGGCCCGCGGTAATTTCTTGGATCGGCGCTGGACCCCTGGCGGCTCCTCCAGCGCCCGCGCGGCCCTCCGACAGTTCATGGTTATGCTGTGCTTTCTTCTGCTTGAGATGGGGGCGGAGGATCGCGCCGCAGCGCCGATGCATCGGCGATTCGGCGCGACCCGGAGCCCGATGTTCTCCATCCCGGCGTGGCAGACGCATCGCCGATGCATTGGCGATGCACCGCCAGCCCGATCTAAGAGGCCTTAAAACGACGACGACGACGACGACGACGACGACGACGACGACGACGACGACGATGACGTTGTCGGTGGCTTCCGCCCGTTTTGGGACGGCGGTGTCGATCATGATGTTATCCGCGGCTTTCTCTGGTCTTCGGGGCGCCTGCCGGGGGTCGTTGTTCGGGGTCTTGGGTGTTTTTGGAGGTATCTGCAGGCTTTCCGGCGGTTTTCTGATGGCTTCGGTGGTGGGGGGAACAATACCCTTCTCATTGCAGGGAAGGTTTGAGGAGGAGCAGGGGCGGGTCCAGGTTCAGTGGGGCGGCGAGCCAGAGCTGGAGCGGCCACCTCTTCTCTTCCCCTCCCCTCCCACCTCCCATCCATCTTCTCCCTTCTCTTCCTCCCCCCTTCCCCTCTCCCTCTCCCTCCTTTCTCCGTCGTCCTCGCGGCCCGAACGCGATCCCACCTCACTGGCGCGAGCAGCAGAACGGCTGGAGCAAGCTCGCCCCATTCTCCCTCCTTCTCCCCTCCTCCCGCTCCTCGCCCTCCATCCTCCTCCCCCTCCTGGCCCCTTCCTCTCCTCCCCCCCTCCTTGAGAGGTAGCAGATGCCAGAGTCTGGCACCTCCGCCGATGCCTTGGGCCGGTTCCCGACTTCATCAAAGTCGCCAGGATCCTGCTTGGGTGGAGGGCCGTGGTCACCTGCTCGCCGCCTGCACGAAGACCTGCCCCCTCGGGCAAGGGTGCTTAGAAGCGAGCGGCAGGGATGCGTCCCTCCTCGGGTCAAGGTGCGGCTCCTCCATGAGGGCCTGGGCTCGGAGGTTGGCTGGAGCGGGTCGCGTGGCCGCAGGCTCAGCGGCTAACCGCTCGCCCTCCCTCTCCCCTCTGAGCCGTTGCAGCCGCCTCATCGGCCCTGCGAACCTCTGCGTGAGGACCCGTGCCTGCGGGCCCAACATGCAATCCTCCACTGGAGGACGCACCCCTCGCCCTCCCTCTCCCTTCCCTCCCTCGCCCTCCCCCCGCCCTTCGGGAGGGGCCCTCTCCCACACCTCGCCTTCCACCCTCCCCCCAGATCCCCTCCACTCCTCCCTGCCCTCGCCTTCCCGGTGAGGGCCTCCCCCAGCGCGGGCGCGCCCGCGCGCGTGCGGCAGGCCCAGAGGAACGGCAGGCTCTTCCTGAACCAGAAGCCAGTCCGCATGACGTGGCGGTGGGAGCGGGGGGTGCAGGAGGGGGCGGGGGAGGAGGCTGCGAGCGGGAGTGATGGGCCGCGGCCGGGTCTTGGTGCGCGTGGGTACGCATCGCCCCGTCGCCCGATCGATGGTCATGCCAGGCTGGAGGCTGAGGCCGCTCTGGCCGCAGGTGCACCGCTCGCCGTTCCAGCAGGGCACGCGATGCAAGACCTGTGCAAGTCGGGCGGGTGGTCGGGAGCGGTGCTTCAGTCCACTTTACCGCGGCAGGCCCGTTCTGAAACTGAATTGTATCGTCAAGTGCAAAAAGCGTCTACCCACGGCCCTGTCCTGCAACGGAGCAGCCTTCCATCGGTGTAGCTGTTGTACCTGTAAAAACGTTGGCCACGACACGCAAAGGAGTCTCAAGCGAGCGCCCCTTTGAAAAAGGGACTGCCTTCCGCCGGGGCCTTCTGTCCTTGCAACTGTTGAATATGTTCCACTGTCGCAGGCAGTCTCAAACGAGAGCTCCAGGTTGAAAATTCTTGATGCTTCGCTTCTTGACGCTTCGTGCTGTTGGTCTCAGGCGGCGCAACCCCCGCCCTGAGTCGCATACGTGGCAGGCCCAGGCGACGATCCCCCCCCGGCTGGCTTGGTATGCCACCGTCGCCACTGGGGTACTGCAGGTCTCAGGCGGCGCAGACCCCCGCCCGGAGGCTGCTTGCCCAGCGGGCCCGTCACCCTGCCCTGCTGGACCTGTCACCTCGTCGCCACCGGTGTGTGCCCCATCTTGCCCCCCCTGCGGCTCGTGGATGGCGTCGACCATGCGGATACACTACGCGGCCCTGGAGATGGCCTGTTGGATGGGTGACGGCGTGTTCTGCGCTTGCGCTCTTCTCGCGCCAGTGGCCACTCTGTGGCACCCCAGCTGTGTGCTTGGGCCTGGGCACGACGCTCTACTACAAGTTCCAGCTCCTCGGCAAGGGCTTTTCGTCTATTTCCTGGCCTGAGCCTGAGCTGCGGCGCGGTTCCTCTCTCTCTCTCTCTCTGTTGTGTTTTCTTTTCTCATCGCTTCTTGTTCTGTCTCGTCCCGCATCTCCTTGTTCCGCCTCGTGCTGTCTTCGTTCCACTTGCGCTGTCCGCGTAGTGGCCTGTTCCTTTTTCCGCTGATTGACCCTGTTCACGGTGCGCGGCCTCTTCCGCGCCACTCGCAATCAAAAAAGTATCCCCGCCAGCCACCCTCGGCGGTAGGTTTAGTTTGCTTGGTCGGCGCGCGCGCCGGCAATTCGGGTGCTCGTGGCCCGCGCTTACTCTACAGACGCTGTCGGCCCGTTGGCCTGCAGATGCGACAAAAAGTATCCCCACCAGCCCATCCAGAAACGATCAGCAGGGGAGTTGGTAAGTCAGGGACGGCTGGAAGCATGCAGTTGCGCGGCCGTCTTCAGAAAATAGACGAAGGTCACCCGAAGCTTCCCGCATTGAAGTTTAATCCGGAAATCAGTGCAAGACACGACGTGGTGCTCCCCGTGGTCAACGTCTTTAGCACAGGTGGCTGTATCCACCCTGGGCCATGAGAATGAAAGATCACAAAAAGCGTCCCGCAGCGAGGTTTCAGATGACATCCAGTGCAAGACATTCCGGGGTGTTCCCTGTGGTAAACGTCCCTGGTACAGGTGACTGTACCTATCAGTCGCCGCCCTTGTCGCACAGTTGAGGGTCGCATCCCCATTTGCATCCTTGATCTCTGCCCCCGCACTGAAGTTTATTTTAAACTCGAGTGCGGTTGCTGGTGATGGTGGTGGTGGTGGCGGTGGGGATGATGTTGCCGCTGTGTCTGCTTGTGGTGCCCTGTTGCCCTGTTGGAACCATCTTGGAGCCAGTGGTGCTGCTGGTGCTGGGGATGCCTGGGGCCATCTTGGGGATAAGAGAAGGAGTAGGAAGAGGAGGAGGAGGATGAGGAGGAGGAGGAGGAAACACAGAACAGGAGGAGGGGAAGGAGGAGGGAGAACAGGAGGAACGCGGCGCGAGGAGGATGAAGAGGAGCAGGGAAGCGGCAGGAAAGTGGCAAGGAAGGAACGGACGATGACAAGGAGGACGAGAAGTCGGGCTTTGGGCATATGTCGTGGTGAGGGGTTCTTCGAAGACTCGTAATGTCAGTTGGACGCCATCTTGGGGTCCTCTTGGGGTCCTCTGAGGGCCTTCTTGGGACCTTCTTGGGTTTTTTTGGGGGAGTCTTGGGGCCCTCTTGGGGCCATTTTGAGGGGTCTGGGAGGCCTCTTGGGGCCGTCTTGGGCCCCTTCACGCAAAAAGAGGGGGGTCTTACATTTAGGTCCCCCCTCGGAGGCCCAAAAGAGGCATCTTGGGGCCCTCTTGGGCCGCTATTGGGGCGCTCGTGGGCGCTCGCTCGTGGGGCCGTCTTAGGGCACTCCTGGGCCTCTCTTGGGGCTAGGTTGGGCCATCTTGGGGCCATCTTGACTCCCCAACAGCCCATCGGAAGCGAAAAAGCGAAACGGCAACACACATCGACTTTCCGTAGGTTTTAAACCCAGTTTGGCCTCTTGGGGGGGGGGGGCTTGGAGTGCTCGGAGGGCAATTGAAACCGTCGTGGGGCCGTCTTGGGGCCTCTTGGATGCGTGTCGGAGGCTATCTTGAGCCATCTCGGAGTCTCGTGTGCCATCTTGGAGGCCATCTTGGGCTATCTAAAACCCTCTTGGAGTTATCTTGGGCCGTCTTGGACGCTCTAACCCCTCGGCCCCTTCCAGACCCAGGGATGGGGTGGGGGAGGTAAACCTCCAGATCAGGGAAAGGAAGGAGGTTGGAAAAGGAGACGCGCTAGACCACCTGCGCCCAGAGGGCTGGTGGGATTAACCGCCATCCGTCCGCGCATGTTTTTGGGGGCGTGCTTAGACGAACGCTCGCGGCGCTTAGGCGAAAGCCACATCGTGATTTCGAGTTCGGGCTGTCCTTCGTCCGTGAAGCGGTTGGGATAAACTTTGACGAATGGGCGCGGCGCTAAGACGAACAGGCCCATCTTACAACGCTTGGCCACACCCGTGTAACGGACGGAAGTTTGAAGACGAATGTACGCTACGCTAGGATGACAGCCACAGATTGAAACCGATCCGCCCCCATCCACGTAACCGTTAGAAGTTCCAGGCGTCAGGTTCACAAGCGGTGAGGGCTTTTCGGGCGAAATACCCAGCCCGCCGCGCCGACACGTTTGGCGGTGCGACGAGGAGGAGCCAGTGATATGGAGAAGGGGCAGGGCAGAAGGAGTTGGTGAGAACGGGCTTTGAAGAGGGACGGTGCCGCCCAGGCCGCAGCCCGCCCGCACGCTTCCGCGGAATGGGTATCCCGCTGCGGCGCCTGACGCCCGAATCACCGGCTGGCCTCGCACTCGCGTCTCCGTAATATCCTTTGTTCTGTGTTTATCATCCCTCCTCCGCCTCTCCGCTCCGCCGCCGCAGTGACGCCGCGAACGAGCTCCTCAGACAGTACGAGGAGCGCCCTGGGGGTGCGCAGCTCGGAAAGCCCCCCGACCCTCGATGGAGACGTGGTGTTTGATATGTCTTCTGTTCCCGAGCGGCGTTTGGGGTGGAGGAGGAGGAGGAGGGTACAGAAAAATATTGAAGAGGCGGAATATCAGAGTGATCAGGCAGTGCTGTGTTTGTCTGAGTTGGAGGTTCGGCTCGCCTTGAAGCCAATCGTACTGTTGAGTCATGACACTATCGCCGCCAACATCAGCGAAAAGGCGTGTCTACTTATAGTTTGTGTTCGCACTGCTCTTCAGATGTCCTATGAATGGAAGCGGGATGTGAACCAGTTTCGTTTGCTACTTCTAGTCCGCCACATCTATCATACCCACCGCAACCGTCATAGCCAGCGTGGTTCTTCCGTCCCAATGTCACTCCTGTCCGTCCCCCACCTTCTCCTGCTACGATTCCCCATATCCTGAGATGAGTTTCTTGTGATTGCCTAGACGGCTCCGAGAACAAACCTTCCTCCTCCTCACCTCTTCCTCCTCTCCCGCAGCCAGAGTGACGCACTCACCCCAGACTCACTTATTGAATCGCTTCGCTCATTCCGCCGGCCCATTTCGCATGACTGAGCCTCTTGGGGCCGCTGGGGGGCCTCTTCAGCGTCGCTTGGGGGCCTCCTGAGGGCCTCTTGGGGGCTTTGGGGGCCTCTCAGGGGCCTCTTGAGGCCTCCTGGGGGCTTCTTAAGGCCGAGGGCTCGAAGTTTTGTTTTGTGTTCCCCCTTTGGGGCATCGCTTGGGGCCCTCTTGGGCCCCTCTTGGGCCGTCTTGGATGCCTCTGGGGCCGTCTTGGAGCCCTCTTGGGCCATCTTGGGGCCTTCTTGGGAGCTTCTTGGGCCCTCTTGGGGCGATCTTGGGGGCCTCTTGGGCCGTCTTGGGGCGTCGGGAAGCCGAAAAGATGGACACGCCAAAATCTGCCCAAAACCTAAGGAAAAGTAATGAATTTTGCCTCTTGGGGCCCTCTGGGGAGTGCTCTTGGAGGCCTCTTGGGGCGTCTGGGGGCCATCTTGGGCGTCTTGGAACGATCGTGTGGCATCTCGGAGCACTCTTGAACCATCTTGGAGGGCTCTTGGCGGCCTCGTGGCCCTTCTTGGGGCTCTCTGGAGGGCCACGGGGGCGGCGCCCAGGAGGAAAACCATCTCTGACCCGACCCTGCCGGGGATCGCCCGGGGTACTTTTCGTCCGGGGACCCCCAGGGGCCGCCCCGCGCGCGCGAAGTAGAAGTATTATTTAGCAGTTACCGGAGATCTTAGCACGCCTCTGGCCCGTTGGGCCGGCGAATACCAGTCATAGTTAGATTCATTCGCATTCAAATTCACCCATACTCTGACAAACTCACATTAAGACTTGTTCACAGTTAGACTCGTTCACACGCAGGCTCACTCATACTCCGACTCACTGCAATCAGACTGACTCACACTCAGACTCATTCACACTTAGACTGTCTCACTCGGACTCAACCACACTCTGACTAATTCACATCCATATGCATTTCATAGTCAGACTGAGACTCACTCATACGCATTGGTGGTCCAATGCCCACCGCGATATTGCAGGCGTAGCACTTGGGCACCCCAACGAGGGGACGCAGAGGGGGCGGGACACTCAAGGATTCGCGCCCAGATCGGGGATATGCCTCAGACGATTCGCCTGGTTGCGTGCCCAGCATCTTCTGCTCCCAAAGCGCATTATGAGGATATCTCATGCGTTTTGCTTGTTTCAGCCCCCAGACGTTTTTTGTTCTGGTGGTCCAATGTTCACCGCGATACAGCAGGCGTGGCACTTGGGCCCTTGGGCAACCCAAGGCGGGGCCGCCAGGGGTGGGGACACTCCAGGGTTCGCGTCTAGATTTTGGGAGCGTCTCAGGCGATTTCTGTTTCTGTCCCCGGGATTGTTTCGTTAGTGCGGTCCAATGCTCACCGCGATATAGCAGGCGTGGCACTTGGGCACCAGGCGGAGCCGCAAGGGGTGGGGTCACTCCATGGTTCGCGTCATGGGGGATGTCTCAGGCGTCTTGCCCGTTTCTTTTCTTTTGAGTCTAGTGCTCACCGCGATACAGCAGTCGTGGCACTTGGCCACACAAGGCGGAGCCGCCAGGGGTGGGGACAGTTCAGGATTCGTGCTCAGTGTGGGGGGGGGTCTCAGGCGGCGGTTTGCTTATTTCTGCCCTTTCCCCCTCTCTCCTCAGATTTTTTAGGGCACTCACTCACTCACTCACCTCCTTCCCCTTTGCCCCATTAGGACGCACCCACTCAGAGTTGCTCATCAGCATTTGTTATGTTCAATTCACTCATCACATACAGACTTGCCCATGCTCAGACTCGATCATACTCAGGCTCACGCATACTGACGCGCTCATGTCCAGACTCTACCAAGCTCAGACTCACTCGCACCCAGACCAATTCACACTGAGACGCATTCGCGCTCAGACTCATCAGCCGTTTGACTCAACCGTACTCAGACTACCCCGCACCAAGGCAGACTCACATTCAGATTCGTATTCATCACACTCAAGCTCAGACTCACCCACACTCATACTCACACTCAGACCCACTCGCGCTTAGACTCGCTCGCACCCAGACTCGTTCATACCCAGACCCACTCGTCTTCACACAGTCTGGCTATCACACTGAGGCTCCATCATATCAGGAACCACTCACACTCCGACTCGCTCACACTCAGATCACCCACGCTCAGATTCTTGCGCACAAAGGTTCGCACGCACTTAGCTACCGCAAGTGCCTGCAGGCGCCGCGAGTAGCACGCCAGAGAGCAGGCGTAGAAACGCCATGCGCGCTTTCCTGGGTTGCCGCGGGGAGAACAGCGAGAGGAATCCCCCCTTACTCTTCCACTTGTGCTCCCCTCGTCTCTCCCGAAATATGTCCAGAGGAGGACGTCACTGAAGTCGTCGCAGTCGTCGTCGTCGTTGTCGCGCCGATCGTCTACGCGGACTCGCTCTCGTACCCAAATGTTTTAATAGACAGAGCTCCGCGACGGGGCGTGACAGGAGCACGAGATGCACATTTGGGGGCTTCCGCGTCGAATGATCCTTATTCTTCCTCGTCCTCCTCCCCTCCTGCTGCTAGGCACTCGGCAGTTGCCCATCATCGAGGCTAAGCCCTGAAGCACAGCCCAGGCACCACGCTTGCACATCTCGTACAGCTCGTACGCGCGTGGTGCAGTTCCGAAGCATGGTGCGCCCGCAGCGGCGCGCGCTCCTTCTCCTTAGCATTCCTTCCTTTTCCTCAAGACTGTCCTGCACGACTGATGCTATGAAGGTGGTTGTGTTAACGGGGGGCTGCAGTACCGCTCAACGATGTGTTGCCAACCAAACCTGCATGGCGGGCGCTGTCTGTTTTTATGTGCACTCCAGCTTGGGTTTCGGCGTCAGCTCCGGGTGCACTGCGAACGCCCTCGGGCCAGTTCACTTCTTGTCGGGGTTCCGCTCATCTGGGTGCCTCCCTCCCTTCGCCGCCATCCGCCTCCCCCCTTCCTCCCCCTTTCCGTCCTGCAGCAGCGCCGACCCCCAATCGCCCATTCATCGCCGATAGCTGTCGGGGGCATGTCGCCGATGTATCGGCGATGCCCGATCTGTGCTTTCCCTGCTGAGCCGCCGCCCCCCCCATTATCGTCCTCCTTCACGGGAGCCGTCAAAAATCCTAAGATTTTTTTCTCTCTCTCTCTCTCTCTCTCTCTCTCTATCGTTCTCCTGCTCCTGCTCCTGCTCCTCCTCATCTTCCTTCCCGCCCTGTCGGTCTCGTTGTCACTCCGCTGCCGTGCGTTTCCGCGCAGGCGCGCGCACGATACGCACTGCCTTAGGCATTGCCCGCCTATTGCATGTACACCTGACCATGTCCATTCGTACTGTCACACACACCCTCTAATCCATAATCGTTTCAACATCGGTCCCCAGAGCTCTCCCGGTGTCCATCCTGATCCGTTGTTCCCTATTTTCGTGTCCCTGAGCCCCTCCCCCCCCCGAAGGCCAGACTGGGAGGAGGAGGCCCTCCTCACCCCTCCTCCTTATCATTCTCCTCCTTCTCCCTCATTCTCAGGATCCGCACCCCTCAGCCTCTTCTCTCGCCCGCGATCCCTGTGAGCCGGGGCTCGGCCCGCGACCGCCCCAGGAGTGCATCAGCCTCAATGCCGACAAGAGAAAGAAGAAGGGCGAGCTCGTGAGATTCATGGACGCTTCCGCCTCCTCCTCCGCCCCCTCCTTCTCCTCTTCCGCTCCGTCCTCTCCTCTGCAGTTGTTCTGGCTCAAGATGGCAGTTTCCCTGAAGGCCATTGTGGACACCGCTGATCCGCGGTTGGCAGGGCTGTGCACCAGCTCGGTACCTTTTGCGTTCGCGTCCGCACACCCAGGGGTCTCGTGCGGCCCACCGGTATCGTATTGCGGTTTCAGGCCGCATTGTAGGATTACTTGCCCTTGGGGCCTAGGGGGAACACCTCCACCTTTTCCTTACGCTCGAAGCCTCAGCGCGGTCACAAGAGGAACAATAATATGAAGAATGAAAGGTCCTCAAGGATGAGAACAGGGAGATCAATACCGATTCTTGTTCGTCGCCGAGGGACACAACGCCAAGAAGAGGTGCTCATGTCTGATATCTCCTTACCACCGTCCACTGGGATGTCGTGCTCGTGAACGCGATCGAGGCGCCACTTGCAGGCGGTCGTGCAGTGACCGAGGCAGTCCGCACGGATCCCCTCGTGGCGCCCGTCACTTGAGCGGCTCCCCGACACAGTCGACATTGATGGAATCGACGGCGTTGTCCTGTCCACGCCTGCTTGGCCTGGCTGGCATCGAGGACTTCGCCACCTTCCCTTTGCAGGATCAGCGAGGTGAGCCTCCTGCGCCCGTACGAGCTGCTCAGCCTCAACCCTGGCCTGCCTTCATGCAGCGGGTGCCGTCGAAGCTGGAGCTGAACACCATCATCTTGCTGAGCGTTGGCGTGGACCTCAGCCTCATCAGGAATATGATGGCCATGATGCCCGTGCGCCCGCTGCTGGCGCCGTGGCCTTTCAGCCCGGTCGCATAGATACTCCATGCTCGCCATGTTCGATCAGATGCAGAATGAGCTTCAGCAGAGTGTGCACCAAAGATGCTCTGAATCCCAAGGTTGCCGCCGCATCTGTTATTACGAAGATCGGTTCGTGGTGGCGCATCCGCAGTCGCTGCAGCATGTCCAGTGGGCTTTCGGGCGTAGCCCGAATTTGTTGTTCGGGACGTAAAAGTCCAACCGCAGCTCCAATTCCAACTGACTGGTCGCGCCCGTCATGCGGTCGTTTTATGCTTGGCTGGCCGAGGCTGCCACCTCGAGCGCGGCACGATCGATTTTCCAGAGCTCCTGTCGCCGATGGCGCGGAAGATGAAGGACACCGACACGGAGGAGTAGCTCATCGAAGCATTCAAGGCATTCGATCGCGACGGGAACGGTTCATCAGCGCCGCCGAGCTGCGCCGCACGATGACGAATTTCGGCGAGAATGTCATTGGCGAGGAGGTCGACGAGATGATTCGCGAGGCCGACGTCGATGGCGATGGGAATTAAAATTGCGAGGGAATCGCGAGGATGATGATTGCCGAATTGCGCCCGGTAGGTTCAAGCAGTGCGCCGAAACGTTTGTTGCGTTTGCGTTCCAAGGTCCAGCGGGAACCGCGAATTTCTCACAGTGCACGCCTGCCTTCGTGATGCACGCCCAGCACCGCTCGACTATTCATTGATCTCGTCGCAGAGCTATAAAAAATCGGCGACCATTCCCGGTTCTGCCAGCGGAGGGCGCAACCCACAGCGCAATCGATAGGGGGCGTTCTATGTTCGGCCGGCCGAGGGCGCAACCCGCGGCGCAATCAATAGCCGGCCGTATTATTCTCGGCCAGCGTAGGGGACAGTTTATGGCGCGATCAATAGGAGGCCGCTTTATTGTTGGATCTCATCGGCCACAGGCGGCCGTATGACCCTCGCCATGCCCCACATCTATTGGTCTAAACCCGCGCGCTTTCAGTCGCCTGTGCTGACGGGGCTCAGCCCGAGGCTCAGCCCAAGGTCCAGCCCTCGGGCATTGGGCGATCTGCCGGCGCCCTCGCCATCCCTGTCCAAAACCAATGCGGAACGGTCGCGGGGCGCCCGCGCGCGCTCCGGTTTTGGAGGCGGAGTGCAGTCTATGTTGTTGTCTGAAAGGGACGCCTGACTTGCGCGCAACTTGCGCGCAACAGATGTCATAATCAAATGAAAGGTGTGGATGTGGCGCCCGCGCGCGCTCCAGATTTGGAGGCGATGTGCATTCTGTGCTGTGTGTTGACAGGGATGGTCGGCCTGTCCACGTCAAGTAACATGCCGGCACCCCCGCCATCCTTGTCAAAAAACAATTGCAGAGCGGTCGCGGGGCGCCCGCCGAGTGGTTGCGAAGCGCCCGCGCGCGTTGCGGACGTGAAGGCGAAATGCACTCGATATTTCTTCTGACAGGGGCGGTCGGCTTGCGCGCAAGTTGTGCGCAACAATCAGCACGCCGGCACCCCCGCCGTCCCCAACAAAAACCAACGCAGAGTGGTCGCGGAGCGCCCGCGCGTGCTCCAGATTTGGAGGCAGAGTGCAGTCTGCATTGTTTTTTGAAAAGGCTCGGAACGGGGGGGGCTGGCGCGTCCCGGGTTGTGTCCCCCGAACAGGGGAAGGAGGGATTTCCGGCAGAGAGAAAACAAAATTTGTTTGAAGCGCCCAGAGGACAGGGTGGGAATTATTCCAAGGGAAGGGGTCGAGAGCTCCACTGGCCGACGTCGCGAGCAATGTGTGACGTCGAGTGCCAGGATCCACTGCCGACTCCACCGTTCAAGTTTTTCGGTGTCTTTGGGGTGCTGGTGTTCGCGAGCAGCTGACCTTCGCCAACAGCCGAAAATCGTCCCTGGTGGCCGCATGAGGGTCCTTTGGGAAGTACTGCCAGAAAGCGAATCGGAGGAGGCCTTCTTGGGCCGTCTGTGGGCTTTTAGGGAGGAGGAGGACGAGGAGGAGGAGGGGGAGCAACAGAAGAGGACATGAGGAAATGACAGTGTCGCGTAGGAATGAACGCTTGTTTCCGTGGAGGGATAGTTACTGTACCCGTGCATCGTGACGTGCAATTTGAATTACAAGCGATACGCAGTGCATGTTGATCTTTCCAGGCTTCTGCTGAGTTGAATTGCACACGTTGTGGTCAGCTGCGCGATTGGAACTGCTGTTTAGAGGAAGACGTAGTTCGGCATATGGGTGTGTGTATATATATATATATGTGTATACATGTATATGCATGTGCATACATATATATATATATATATATATAGATATAGGTATCGCATGTGGGGGGGGGACGCTGCATTCTGACAGCCTACCGCAGGACCACTGCATTCGGATGGCGTTTTGCTCTGTGGCCGCTGGATGGGTGCAATGTGCGAACCTCTGTGCGTTCACCATGACTGTCACGTCCGTCTCGTCTCTACGCGGTTCTGCCCCACTCTGAGTCTCGTGCCCGCTCGCACTCATCTGCAAAAAAACCCGTGCGAAAAGCAACTGGTGGGTAGTGATCCCCCCGGCCCAATATTAATCGTGCGGCCGGCGAAGTTCGAACAATCAGATAGGCACCGCATTGAACGACGTTGAAATTTGGGGGTGGGGGGGCGTGTAGAAAAAGCACCCGTTGATTTTCGCACACGATTTAAGAGAACGAGAAGAAGACGACGACAATGATATTCACGATGATGATGATGATGATAATGATGATGATGATGATGATGATGATGATGAAGATGATGACGACGAGCATAATGAGGATGATGACGATGATGCTGCTGATGATGATGATGATGCTGCTGATGATGATGATGATGATGCTGCTGATGCTGATGATGATGATGATGATGATGATGATGATGATGGTGATGGTGATGGTGATGGTGATGGTGATGATGATGATGATGATGATGATGATGATGATGATGATGATGATGATGATGATGAAAATGATGATGATGATGATGATGATGATGATGATGATGATGATGATGATGCTGATGCTGATGCTGATGCTGATGCTGATGATGATGATGATGATGATGATGATGATGATGGTGGTGGTGGTGGTGGTGGTGATGATGATGATGATGGCGATGTTTTGGGGGGTGCGGAGGATTTGGGAGGGTCGTGAGGGTTCTGGCGATTTTTTCGGGAGTGCGGAGGGTTTAGAAGGGATGGGAGGGTTCCAGAGGTTTTCGGAGGAGTGCGGAGGGTTGCGGATGGATGAGAGGTTTGCAGGTTTTCGGAGGAGTGCGGAGGAGCGTCGAGGAATGGGATTGGATCGGAGTTTTTTGGGAGCAGTGCGGACCGTTCATGAGGGGTGGGAGGGTTCCAGAGGGTTTGGGGGAGTGCGGGGGAGTCAGTGAAATCATAATTGCCCGCCATTGCCCGCCTATGTGAAGTACCCGCCCATGTTTTACCAACTACCCGCTTTGTGTTAGAAAATAAAGATGTAGTGTTTCACGCTTCTTTTAATAACAAGAAATGCGGCGGTTAGTTCATGCACAATAGCGGGGTAATAGACCAGGTAATTGGCGGGTAACAGGCGGATAATGGCGGGTCCTCTGCTTGTCATTGGTCTCGTCTTCCAACTACGACATCGTTGTAGTCATCCTCTTCGCTTTTGTCCTCGCCCACCCCCCCCATCATCTTCCTGCCGTTCGCTACAGTAGGCATGCTAGATAAGAAACCAGCCTGACAGCAGGTGCGCCGCGGAGATTTCATATCCCTTGATGGCCCTGGGGACCCATGGAAGCCCTGAAGCACCTCATGAACTTCAAATATCGACGGCAAGTGTGTGGCCGTATATTCCTTTGAACAAGATGTCTTGTCGCATGTGTGCACTGCGTGTTTCTCGTTGCCCTGGCGCGTGAAACATATCCTCGTCCTCGTCGTCGTCGTCCTTCCTCCTGCGTCGTCATCATCCGTTTTTGTTTCTTCATCGTCGTGGTCTTCGTCTTCGTCGTCGTCTTCTTCTCCGAATTCTCTTCCTACCTCATGCGAAAGCCAACTGATGTTTGTTGAGCCCCCCTGCCCCTCCATTTCAATGTTGACCGCACCGTATTGAACGTTGATTCAATCGCTTCGCTCATCCCGACTGCCCATGTTGCATGATTGCTACTGCTTCGCCGTGGGCCTGGGGCCATTGTGGCGCCGCCGAGGAGGAAGAAGATGAGGATGGGGAAGGGGAGGGGAGGAGGAGGAGAGGATGAGAAGGAGAGGAGGAGGATGAAGATAAGTAGGAGGAGGAGAAGGAGGAGGAGGAGGAGGAGGAGGAGGAGGAAGAGGAAGGGGTGGAGGAGGAAGCCTCTCGTTGGCATCTTGTGTTGCTCTTGGGGCCAAACAGGGTCGTCGTCAAGATGCTTCTTTGGGAGGCCCCTTGGGGTCGTTTGAGAAGCCGTTCGGGGGCGCCTGGGAGGCATTTTTGAGCCTTCTGAGGGGCCTCCTGGGGGCCTCCTGGGGCCTCTTGGGGGCTTATTGGCGGCATCTTGGGGCCTCTTGGGGGCCTCTTGGGGCCTCCTGGGGCCCTCTTGGGGCGGAAGGCGCGAGGTTTCGGTTCGTGGTCCCCCTCTTGGGCCCCTCTTGGGGCCGTCTTGGGCCGTCTTGGGCGCCTCTTGGGCCGTCTCGGGGCCCTCTCGGGCCCTCTTGGAAGCCTCTTGGCCCGTCTTGGGGCGCTCTTGGGGGCCTCTTGGGCCGTCTTGGAGCATCGGATGGCCGAACAGGGGACAAGGCCCAAATCCTTCCAAAACCATCGTAAAAATTATGAGTTTGGCCTCTCGGGGCCCTCTTGTTCGGCCTCTTGGAGGCCACTTGGAGGCCTCTTGGGCCGTCTTGGGGTCATCATCGGCGTCTTGGAGCGCTCTTTGGGCGTCTCGGGGGCCCTTTGGGCAGTCTTGGGGGCCTCTTGGGGCACTCTTGGGGCACTCTTGGCGCGCTCTGGGGGGCCTGAGAAGCCACACATTCAGGAGGAAAACCATCTCTGGGTAGCAGTGGTCGGGCTGCGGTCGGGGTACTTTTCGCCGGGGGACCCCCAGGGGCCGCCCCGCGCGCGCGAACTAGAAATATTGTTAACCAGTTATCGGAGATCTTAGCACGCCTCTGGCCCGTTGGGCCGGCGAATTTCTTTGGGGGGGGCTGGGTGCGTGTAGAAAGACACCAGTTGGTTTTCGCATATGGTTGCTTTTCTTTCTATAATATCAGGCCGGGGCCGTTCTTTGGTTCAGAGGTGGGCCAGCTGAGACATTGTCCGCCCCCCTCTACCTCATTCCTTCCTTCTCCTTGTCAGATTTCTCCCATGCCAGGGCCGCTGGTGTCTCCGATGTGTACCCGCGATCGTGCAGTGCGGTGAGCACGCCAGAACAGGGACCAATTTGATTTCGGTTGGGGCTCTGGGTTCCTGGGGCCATTCTTGTGGCTTTTTCTAGGACTCTCCTCGTGAACACTGGCGCGACTGGACCAAAACGGTGCCTCGTTCCTTCTGTTAGGTGCACGCTGATTGGCATGACGTTGACTGCGTGCGGCGAGGGAGCTCCTTGAAAGGAAGGCTTCGACTGCATCCGCAATCGCGCATTGCGCGTCTCAGCCTCAGAGTGGCAGTGCCCGTTGCATTTCGATTGTTCAGGGGGCGCTGCTATCGGCTCCCCTGCCTCCTGTCTCTCGCCCATCAGTCCCGTCTCATCCCTCTATTTTCCTCCTCCCTCCCCTCACGCCTTCCACTCTCCTCTCTCCTTCTTCTTTCCTTCCTCCTCCTCCTCCTCCTCCTCATCCTCATCCTCATCCTCATACTCCCATTCCTCCTCCTCTTTCTCCTCCTCCTCCTCCTCCTCCTCCTCCTCCTCCTCCTCATCGTCATCCTCCCTCTTCCTCTTCCTGCAGCTCCTGCTCCTGCTTCTCCCGCGTCTCATGTTCCTGCCCCCCCTGCCGCACCCCTCAGATGCTCGATAATCATGCCCCTTCTCCTCCTCTGCACCCTTTTCCTTTTACCATCCTGCTTCTGATCATCTTGATCACCTTCCTTTCTCTCGCCCTCACACTCTTCCCCTCCTCTTTCTGCTCCCCTTCCTGGCCCGGGGGCACCCGAACGGGTCCCTTCTCGGAACTGACCGAGAAGGGGAGGGATGCCACCCGCACCCTGTCGGTCAGCTCCGAAGGCGAGCTTGGCGCGCGAGCAGCGGCTGCTCCCCCTCCCCCGTCTTCATCGGCCACGGGCGAAGCCGAGCAGAACCCCACGGGGCCGACCGAGCCTTGCAAGCGGTCTCCAGCCAGCCGAGCCGTTCCCCACGAGACGCGACGACCCTCCCAGGTGCTCGCCCACTACTACCTGCCCCCGCTCCGGCGCGTCAGCTTCGCGATGGGCTTCGGCAGCTAAGCGGGGCACTCACAGCGCACCCGCGCGGCCCTCGTGGACCACAGCCTAGGGTGGAGATGGAATGATCCGATGGCGGAGGGGCGCTGCCGTGATTGGGAAGGGGGAGCCCAGGCCTCCAATTAGGCGTCGCGAGGCAATATGGCACGGCTGGCGCTCCGTTTCTTATGATCTCGGCGTCCGCAGAGATGCTGTTTCAGTGACCCCCTGGGCCGCATCCGACAGCGACCCGTCTTCCAAAGCAGGGTCCAGGGGGTGGGGTCAACAGCTCTGGGGGCCCGCGTCGCGAACATCGCTACAACGTCGGAGGTCTGGGGCGGGGGGGGAGGGGGGTCAAGAGCGGGAGAAAGGGGGAGGGACGTGGAGAGAACGGTGTGGGAGACGACGAAATCGAGAGCGCGGCGTTGAGGGATAAGTAGGAGGCGTGAGTGGAAGGGAGGGGGGGAGGGAAGAACAGGACAGGGATGGTCCGGCAGCGGAGGAGAGGGAGAGGGGTCGGGGGGGGGGGCGGAGGGAGATCGGTTGGTCCTCGAGGCATTTAAGGCCTCCTGCGGGTGCTGGGGCCCGCAGCCCGGCGCGACCGCCGTGCGGGCGCCGCTGCGGCTGGTGACCGGGCGCGCGCTGTTGGGCGATGGGCCACGCCCGCGCCTGGGGCCGGCAGGAAAGAGGGGTGGGCGTCCTCCTCCTCCGCGCCTTCGCCTCCCCCTCCGGCTCCCTTCGCGTTTCCCCTCTTGCGGCTGGTGGCGCGCGTCTGCGCGCGGGCGCGCCAGGGGAGGGGGCGCACCCCCGCGCCTGGCCGCCCCGCCGGGCCGGGACGGGGGCGCCACCTCCACCTCCACTTCCCCCTCCATCTCCCCTCCTTCTGCGCCGCCGCCTTCCTCCTTCTGGGGCTCTCTGGGGACCTAGCTGCGGCAGGCTGGCCGCCGAGGAGCGCGCGAGCCGCCGCGGGCGCGCGCGCGCGTGCTTCGCCGCTTTGCGTTGGCGCTGCCATGGCGGCAGCCTCCGTGGCGCCCTCGCTGCGGCTGTCGTACCTGCCCTTACCGAGAGGGCGACGCGGACGGGGGCACGCCCTGGCTGCGCGGAGGGGGAGACGCACCGGACGAACGTGGACATATACGGAACGAAGACCCCCCCTCGGAAATCCAGGGGCACATTCGCCGTCCCTCCTTGAGCCGCAGGACTTCTGTGGACCCCCAGGGCCCTTGGGGAATGGCAGTTTTCTGCGGGAGGGGAGGTGGAGGGGGGCCGTTTTGCGCAGCCTCCAGGCTTTGCAGTCCCCTCCAGATTCTTGACGATTTTGGTTTTCGTGGAGGATGGGCCCCCTGACCTGTCAACCCCACTCCCGGAGACCAGTTTTTACGGCCGCATTCTTGTTCCTCGACCCCCCTCGCTCCTCCCACCCCCATCGCTCCTCCCACCCCCTCGCTCCCCCTCCCCCCCCATCTGCAAACAACACCGCCACGACAACGATGATATCCATAGTTTGTTCACGCCTCTGCTGACGCCGTCCTCGTCGGCTTGAACGGCGACACCCACCAGAGCACTGCAGAGACGCTAAGCAACGCGACGTGCTCCAGCAGCACGGATGCCTCGTGCCCGATGTCGATCAGAACGACGATGGGCAGCGCCACAGATATGAGCAGCATGGCGATGCCGACAGCGCGACGCTGAGCAATGCGACGAATGCGACGGGCTCCGCCAGCATGAGGCTGAGCAGGGCGACGCATGCCGGCAGCCCAGCGCCAAATGCCAGCACTGACATTCCGCCAACGATCGACTCCAGCCCCGAATCCAATCCAAGCTCTCCGATTCTGGCCCCGACGCCAGCCCTGCCTCCAAACCGGGCCGCATCACCACCGACTCCATCGACTACACCACCACTGACTCCATCGATTGCCGACGAGTAGCTGATCGTCTGCACCCTCTTCGACTCCCGCGATCCTGACTCCAGCTTCGCCCACATCTCCGAGTCCAGCTCCAATTCGACTCCAGCTCCGACGCCAGCCTCAACATCCGCTGTTACGCCGCAGCCTTTCGTGACGCTCACATTGGTGGTGTGCTTTCTGGCCTATCCTGCTGCAAATCGTCGCGCGCCGAGTCCGTGACAATCTTCAGCTGTTGTGAAGCCCTCGCCGCCCCCATGGAGGCGGGCTGGCCCGAGAGTCGCCGCAAACCGAGGCCGTGACATGCCCCACGCTGTTATAATTGCAGCCTCTTGCTGCCCGCATGGGAGCGTACCGGCCCATCTTGCCTCGAGTCGCCGCGCGCCGAGTCCGTGATTGCAACGTCACCGACTCCATCGATCACACCATCACCTACGTCATCGATTACAGCAAGGGCTCCTCCGAGGGTGCGAAGTTACTCGCGCTTCGCGGTCTGCGCGACGTCAGAGCGAGGCGCTCGGTTATTCGCGCTTCGCGGTCTGAGCCTACGACGGTTTGCAGAGCGAAGGTAGACGCGCTTCGCATCCGTGGGGCTGGGCCAGCGAGGTTTTGCATCGCTGGCTTCGCGGTCTGGGCGACGTCAGCGCGACGCGCGAAGTTACTCGCGCTTCGCGCGGAGCCCGTGGAGTTTGTATAAACTGTTTGTAGGGGGACACTGATTTAGATAAGGTTTTCGCGCGGAGTCATCGGAATTCGGATTAGGTTTTACGCGGAACTCAAGAAGTTTGATATGGTTTTCGTAGGGGGGCAGTGAGTTACGTCAATGTTGTCAGAGGGGGGGCGGGAGTTAGGATGAGGTTCTTACGCGGAGCCCAAGGAATTTGGAGCAGGTGTTCGCGCAGAGCCCATTATGCTTGGACATGGTTGCTGTAGGGTGCCAGTGAGTTAGGATCAAGTTTTCGTAGTAGGGCCCAGGAGTTAGGACAAGGCTTTCGCGCGGAGCCAAAGGAATTCGGACTAGGTTCTCGCACGGAGCCCTTGGAATTTGGATACGGTTTTCGTAGGGGGTCCAGTGAGTTAGTATACGGTTTTCGTAGGGAGCCCCACGGGTTATGATAAGAATTTCGCGTGGAGCCCAAAGAATTCGGATGAGGTTTTCGCGCGGAGCCCCTGGGGTTTGGATATGGTTCTCGTATTGGGGGCCAGTGAGTCAGGATCAGATTTGCTTTTGGGAGGCCCGGGAATGTGTATACGTCTTTCGCGCGGAGTCCTGGAATTCGGATCGGGTGTTCGCGCCGAGCCCGTGGAGTGTGGATATGGTTTTTGCAGGGGAGTAAGTGAGTGAAGAGAAGGCGTTCGTAGGGGACTCCGGAAGTTAGGATAAGGTTTTCGCGCGGATCCCAAGGAGTTTGGAATAGGTTCGGCGGAGCTCATCCATGGAGTTCGAATATGGTTTTCGTAAGGGGGCCAGTGAGTTGGGATAAGGTTCTCGTCTGGAGGGCTCGGAGTCAGGATAAGGTTTTCGACCCGACCCGAGGAATTCGGATTAGATTTTCGCGCGGAGCCCTTGGAGTTTGGAGATGGTTTTCGTAGAGTTGCCAGAGAGCTCGGATAACGTTTTTCGGAGGGGAGGCCCAGAGAGTTAGGATACGCATTTCGCGCCGAGCCCGCGGAATTCGGATTGGGTTTTCGCGCAGAGCCCTTAGAGTTTGGGTATGGTTTCCGGCCCCAATGAGTTAGGATAAGGTTATCGTAGGGGGGCCAGGAGTTTGGATCAGATTTTCGCTCGGGGCCCCAGGAATTCAGAGTAGGAATTATCCCAACCCCTGGGGCCCCCTACGAAAGCCGTGTCCTACCTAACCCACCGCCCCTCCCCCCCCCGCGAGAACCATCTCCAAACTCCATGGGCTCCGCGCGAAAGACTAATCCGAATGCCTTGGGCTCCGCGCGAAAATCTTATCCTGACTGGCTCCCCCCTACGATAGCCTGATCCTAACTCACTGGCCCACCTACGATACTCAGGCTCGGCGCGAAAACGGAGTCCGAATTCCTTGAGTTCCGAGCGAAAACCTTCTCTTAACTCGGAGGTGCCCCTACGAAAACCTTGTCCCACATCATTGCCCCCCCCCACCGAAGGCCTTATCCAAACTCAAGGGTCTCCGCGCGAGAACCTTATCATAATTCCATGGGCTCGATGCGAAAGCCTTATCCTAACTTCTGTGCCCCCGTGCGATCACCTTATCCTAACTCTCTGGTCCACCTACGAGGACCTTATCCAAGCTCCACGGGCTCCGCGCGACAGCCCTAATCAGATTTCTTTGGGCTCCGCGTGACAGTCTTATCCTAACCCCCAGGCCTCCCTGCGAAAACCGTCTCCCATCTCACTGGCCACCATGAGAAAGCCATACCCACTCCCCAGGGGCTCCGCGCGAAAACCTACTCCGAAGTCCATGGGCTCCGCACGTATACCTTATCCTAACCTCCAGCGCCCCCCACGAAGAACTGTAGCCTAATTCTCTGGCCACCATGCGAAGGTCATCTCCAAAACCTGATCCGAATTCCGTGAGCTCCGCGCACAAACCTTGTCCTGGTTCTGGGGCAGCCCCTACGAAAGCCTTATCCTAGTTCATTGGCCCCACCTACGAAAACCACATCCAGACTCCACGGGCTCCGCGCGAAGACCCAGTCCGAATTCCGCAGGATCCGAGCGAGAACCTTACCCGAAGTCCCGGGCCCCTTATGGAAACCTTATCCTGACTCATTGCCCCCACCCCCCCCCCTACGAAAATCTTGTCCAAACTCCAGGGGCTCCGCGCGGTAGCCCCCCGAATCCCTTGGGCTCCGCGCGAAAACCGTATCCCAACCCTGGGGCCCCCTTACGACAGCCATATCCAAACTCCAGGGTCTCCTCGCGAAAACCTGATCCGAATTCCTTGGGCTCCGCGCGAAAACCTTATCCTGGCTTGGGGCTCCCTGAGACAACCTTATCCTAACTCACTGGCCCCCCCTACGAAAACCACATCCAGACTCCACGGGCTCCGCGCGAAAACCTTATCCGAATTCCGTGGGCTCCGCGCGAAAACCTTCTCCGAATTTCTGGGCCCCCCCCCTAAGAACAACTTGTCCTAACTCACTGCCCCCCCCCCCGGACCCTGTATTCCAGAGCTCCGCACGAAAACCTGAACTTCCGGCCCCCTACGAAAAAACCTTATGTAAACTCTCTGGCGCCGACGAAAACTTGATCAAAACTCAACGGGCTCCCCGCGAAAACCTGATCCGAAACCCTTGGGCTCCGCGCGAAAACCTTCGCCTAATTCCCGTGCCACCCCTGCGAAAAACCTGTTCCTAACTCTCCTGCCCATCTGCAAAGACCTTGTCCAAACTCCACGGGCTCCGCGCGACAACCCAATCCAAATGCCTTAAGCTCCGAGCGAAAACCTTATCCAGACCTCCAGGGCACTCTACGAGAACCTTATCCTAATTCCCGCTCCCCTGCGAAAGCCTGATCCTAATTCCACCGGCTCCGCGCGAAAACGTAGTCCAAATTCTGTGGGCTCCGCGCGAAGCCCTTACCCTAAGTCCAGGGCCACCCCTACGAAAACTTTAGCCTAACCCACTGCCCCCCTAACAAAACCTGAGTCTAACTCCGCCGGCTCCGCGGGACAACCCTTCCGAATGCTTTGAGCTCCGCGCGAAAACCCAGTCCGATTCTCTTTGGCTCCGCGCGAAAATCTGATTCTGACCCATGGAGCCTCCGAAGACAACTGTATCCAATTTCTCTGGCCCCCGACGAGAATCATCTCCAAACTCCACGGGTTACGCGCAAAAGCTGATCCTAACTTCTCAAGCTCTGAGCGGAACCTTATCCTAACTCCCGAGGCCCTACGAAATTTTGTCCTAACGCACTGGCCCCAAAACTTATTCTAACTCACTGGCCGAATGCGCGAAAACCTCGTCTGAGTCCTTGGGGCTCCCAACGAAAACCTGATCCTAACTCATTGGGTCCCTTGCGAAATCTATATCCAGACTCCACGGGCTCCGCGCGAAAACCTATTCCGTCTGTCTCGGGCTCTGCGCAACAAGCTCGTCGTAATTCTCAGGGCTCCCTGACACAACTTTATCCCAACTCACAGGACCCCTCACGAAGACCATATCCAAATTCCTTGGACTCCGCGCGAAAGCTTAATCATAATGGTGGGGGCTCCCTACGAAGACCTTATGCGAACTCATTGGGCCCTCTTACGGAAACCATATCCAAACTCTGAGGTCCCCCCGTTCCCTCCTCCACCTCGTCTTCTTCCCCCACGTCCCCTTCGGTCCTCATCCCCTGCATTCCTTGCGGACCTTGGACTCTCCCATCGCCCTTCGCCCTCCCTCGTCTTGTCCCCCAGGGGGGCCGAGAGCGTGAAGTTCTTCGCGCGTCGCGCTTCGCGAGCCTCTCGGGGGGCGGCGCAAAAACGCAAAGCTATTCGCGCTTCGCCCTTCGCGCAGCGCGAAGCGCAAAGCCAGGAGCCCTTGACCATCTCCGACTCAACGACCCCGGCTCCGACGCTGGCCTCGACGACCACAGATGTGCCGCAGCCCTTCGCCACGCTCATCTTGGAGGCGCACTCGCCCGTCCTGCCGCGAATCGCCGCACACCGAGTCCGTGACATGCGCCATGCGGTCGTGCAGCCTCTCGCCGCCCACACGGTGGTGCACCAGTGCCAGCATATCTTGTCACGAATCGCCGCGCACCGAGTCCGTGACATCCACCGCGCCGTTGTGCAGCCGATCATCGCCTTCGTCTGGCGCCACAGGCACGCAAGCGCCGATGCCGGCATCGACTCCTGCTCCGACTAATCGCTCACACCGGCTCCGACCCCAGCCCCGATTCCAGCGTTGGCTCCGACTGCCGCTGCGACATCCCGTCCAACATTGGCCCTGGCTACCATTCCAGCTTCAACGCCTGCCCCTTTCCCAGATTCGATTCCAATACCGACGGCGGCTCCGATTCCAGTTCGACTCAAAGTCTTTTCCGCTAAGGCCTACAATGCGACTACTACTACTACCATCACCGCTACGGCTTCCGCTTCCACTCCCGCTCTCACTGCCATCACCTCTCCTCTCCCGAGGATGGGGGCTAGCATCCTCTGAACCACGCCCTGTGTGCTTCCGATTTCTCCTCCTCGACCCTTTCCTAGAGACTCCATTGGTAGGGAGTTCGGCGAGCATGAGCATGACATCGACATACGCCCAGACACCATCACCGACGCCAGCACCGACATCACTAACGACATCGGCACCGACGCCGGCAATGACCCTTGATCCCAGAAACAAGGTGGCCCTTGAGCACAGCACGGGCAGTTCTCTCAGCCATCCCAGGCGGTCATTCCAGCCGCTTGGCCGTCAGCGCCGCAGCAGCCCCCCCCCAGGGACGAACAACCTGACGACAGCTGGACGTCCCGCGGGGTCACTTCCCCGTGACGTTCCGCGCCCTTCGGTTGCGGATAGCGGCGGTTCCCAGCAAGACACGCCTGATGCCACCCACGACAAGGCCATGTTGCAGTGTGGAAAACGACGTGGTGGTGAGCAGTTCGACGGCGAGCAGCAGCGCGAAGCCCAGCAGCACAGTGCAGAGCACGCACTGAGCGTGCGGTTGCCCTCCCCTCTCCTCCTCCCACCTCCCTCATCCTGGCCTTCGTTGGTCGGGTATGCGTGAACTGTAGTTGTACGCGCGCATGCGCCAGGTATTCCTATGCGAGCTCTCGTTACTCTGCAAGCTTCCAGCGTCCGCCGGTCGGTGTTGCCCCTGACATTTGAAGTGAACCATCCGTGATTTGGTGATTTTTTCCCCCAGCTCCTGCTCCCCGTCTCTGCCTCCGCCCTCTGTGTTGCATATGATGTGTGTTTCGTGTCGTTGGCCACCTGGGTCAGGGGAGATAGATTGGCGCTGATGTCCTTGCGTTCCATCCCCCTCCTCCTCCTCCTCCTCCTCCTCCTCCTTCTCCTCCTCCTCCTGGGCACGCATGTTCAGGCCACTTTCGGTCCCGGCGGTAGGGCCTTGCGTGTCCTCCCTCGTCGTCTTCTATCCCTTTGTCTTCCTCCTCTTTTGCCTTTCTCTTATCTCGTGCTGTGTTGGATTCATTGGCATTGCCCTTTAGGGCATCCAATAGGGGCTCCCATGGCACAACGTGTTTTCACCCGCCTGAAAGCAACTTTGGCAACCATATTGCCCACACTGGTTCAAACAATACCCTTTCATGCGGGGCGCATCGTGCTACGTATCCTCTGGTCTGCGACCGGCGCAGGGGGGGAGGGAGTAATTCGTTGTTTTTCACGTGCTCGCTCTTTTTCGGGCCACGGTTCACCTCATGAATTTGCCTAACTATCGCAGGTCGGCTCGTGAGTTGCACCCGCGGTTTGCCTGGCGACTCTTTGAATCGCATGGTAGTTGGGAATGTGCGGTCTGGAAGTGACGTTCATGTGCCTGTACTGGGACAAATTGTTTTTACCGCCGCATTCCTGTTTGGACGGCCCCAGGTCTTGAAAATTTGCCAGCAGGGGTTGCATTATGAAACATGGAGAAAATGCGGCGATTTCGTTTGAGATCTGGGTCCGCGTCTCCCTCTCGTCGTCCGGGCGATGGCGGAGACCACCCGCTTCTTGCTGCGGCACGGCGGCATCCCGTATGCGGACGGCCTGGGGTTGCTCGTCCTGCCGCCGCCCCCCCACGCGTCGCGTCCGGGACGAGGAGAAGGAGGAAAGTATGACCAGGGGGGGGGCATCTCGAGCCCCGCTTGTCGATACGCACCAAGCCCTGCCAAGGCGTACCAAGCGCTAGGACCCCTGTGAATTCTCTACGGGGCGCCCCATCGCAGGGGGGTAGACGGTCCCATTCTCGGAGGCGGAGGAGGAGGAGAAGGCAGAGGATGAGGGTAGAGGAGGCTGTGACGATGTGGAGGTGAAGCGGCAGCAGCAGGCGGTGGAGGAGGAGGAGGAGGAGGAGGAGGAGGAGGAAGATAATGTTGATAATGACGATGAGGAGGAGGAGCAAGAGGAGGAGGAGGAGGAGGAGGAGGAGGAGGAGGAAGAGAAGGCTGACAATGATGAGGAGGAGGAATAAGAGGAGGAGGAGGAGGAGGAGGAGGAGGAGGATGAGGAACAGGAGGAGGAGGAAAATCATACTGCCGGCGAGGATGAGATGCATGACTCGCCAGGTCAGGAGGATGTGGAGAAGGAGAAGGGGGAGGGTTTCGATCTTGCATGAGCCAGCCCGCAGCAATCGGGCTATCAGAGGGAAGAGGGGGGTGGAGCGGGGGAAGTGGGAGGAATATCAACAAGGCCAGGACTCAGAAGGGCCGACAGGGCGCGCGAGACTCACGGCAAGCCGTCGCAGTGCATCCGCTCCAGATTGAGTGTGCACATTGCCGCAGGGGCGTCTCCGGGTACGGTGGCAGCCCCTCCCAGCTGGTACCGCCCCAGCACGCGAGTTCCAAACGCGGGGGAGGGCTGGGGAGGACGGCGGTCGGAAGCGGTGGGGCGCGGAGGAGGGCGCATGGGAACGGAAGGGGCGCGGCGCAGCGCGGAGGCGCGAGGAGGAGCGCGGAGGTGCGCGAACGGAAGCTGGTCAGACTCGGCATTGCAGCGCAGCAGTTTGCGCGCCGTTCGGCTGAAAGGTTCTCACCCCGAACGCCACCCCTCTGCGCGAGGAGGGGCGCCCATTTCCTGAGGTGGCCAGGAGCTGCCAAGGGCAGGGGGAGCGGCGGAAGGGCGAAGCCAAAGGAGGCGATAATCGAAGTCAGGCGGTGATATAAGAGGAGTAGGGAGGAGGAGGAGGAGGAGGAGGAGGAGGAGGAGAAGGAGGAGGAGGAGGAGGAGCAGGAGGAGCAGGAGCAGGAGGAGCAGGAGCAGGAGGAGCAGGAGGAGCAGGAGGAGCAGGAGGAGCAGGAGGAGCAGGAGGAGCAGGAGGAGCAGGAGGAGCAGGAGGAGCAGGAGGAGCAGGAGGAGCGGGAGGAGCAGGAGGAGCAGGAGGAGCAGGAGGAGCAGGAGGAGGAGGAGGAGGAGGAGGAGGAGGAGGAGGAGGAGGAGGAGGAGGAGGAGGAGGAGAGAGGAGCAACATGGAATAAGTGGAGCGCGACGCGCAAAAGTGCAACGCCATCAGTGATGAACGTTTCAGGTCACAAAGCTCAGGTCTGGAGAACAATCGCTGCACGAATCCGAAATAGAAGCTAGCAGTGACAGCCCAACCAGCTATCAACCACATTTGCACAGCACAATGTGGACGGCTCCACGGTAGGCGACATCAGGCTCACTAGAGTCTTGGAGGCAGTCGCCTGCGGATACGCCCGCACATCCACAGTGGCCCTCACAGGTGCATGCCGCGGCCCTGAAATGTCACGGAGTCGGTGCGTCTCTTACCTCTGCGATGCGACTCAAGGCGGCCCCAACCAGCTTGAGCGATGCCACGGAGTGCCTGCCTGAGTGCTCTCAAGATTAACACCAACACGAACGAATCTCCTGGAGGCCGTCGCTCGCGGATAGGCCAGCACACCCGAGCTGAACATCAGTTGTGAGTGCCGCGGCCCTGAGTCTGCGCATCTGATCCCGATAGCGACGCGGCTAGAAGTTGAGCCGCAAGCCTTGAACCACCCAAGGAGCCAGAGACCGATGTCGAGCTGCCCTGGCAGCCTGTAGACGTGCCCCCTTCCTGGCCCTTGTGACCGCCCGGTTGGCAGCGATGCGAGCGACCTGCTTGGCCGTGAGTGCTAATGGCGGAGGGCCGAGTGGAGGCAGAACGTCAGGGAGAACGCCCGCATCATCTTTGAGCGAGCGGAAGGTGGAGGGAGGAGGGTGGGCAAGCGGAGCAGGAAGAGGAGAATCGACGCTGCGTCAACTGATGCCCAGCGCTGGGGCAGCTGAAAAAGAGGAGGACCAGGAGGATAGGGACCAGGAGGAGGAGGAGGAGGAGGAGGACGAGAAGAAGGACACGGAGAAAGACAAGGAGGAACAGATGGCAGCTTTCATCGCCGAGCCCCAGTGCCAACAGCGTCGGCGTCAACAAAAAGGACGACGACGTCGACGGCGACGACGAGGAGGGGACGACGACGTCGACGACGAGGTGGTCGACGAGGGAGGAGAGCGGCCCGGGCAATTTGCGCCCCCGTTCGGTCCCAACGCCGCGCAGGCCCCGCGGCCTGGGGCGGGCTAGCGGTCCAGGACGAGGTGGTCTGGGGACGCGTGTTCGCCGAGAGGCGAGCGCGGGGCGAGTACCCGTTCGACAAGGCCGGAGGGGGAGGGGGGAGGAGGAGGGAGGGAGGAGAGAGGAGGGAGGAGGAGGAAGAGGGAAGAGGAGGGACGAGGTAGGAGGAATAGGAGGAGAGGAGGAGGAGGAGGAGGAGGAGGAGGAGGAGGAGGAGGACGAGCTCAAAGCAAGCGTTGGAGGTCCGCTTTCTCCCCCACCCTGGGATCTGGGTGCCTCCGACCGGTCCCCGCGCCGCCGTTCGCCGGAGCGCCGCCGGCCGCGGGAGCGCAGCCGTTCGCCGGCGCGCCGCCGTTCGCCGGAGCGCCACACCAAGAGTTCCCAGAGTCCGAGGTGGCATTCCAGGGGGTCGTCGGTGAGGCGGACTGGGAATCAGCCCATGCGCGACCGCAGCCGGAGCCGCAGTCACAGGTCGCAGGGTCTTCGTTTCGCTTCCAAGAAGCGCGCTGACCGTAGCCACCGGAGCCCTTCCCAGGTGGACTCGGTTGGCTACCCCCCGACCGAGGTGGCCTCAAACCCCCTCACGCTCGCGGACGTGACTAGCCCCAGCATTGATAGGGACCTCCCGAACCTGCTACCCCTGCCATCAGTGCCTCCTCTTCCTTCTCCTTCTCCTGCTCCCCCTCCTCCTTGCCTGCTCCCTTGTTTGTCTTTTTCTGAGAATCGCGGTGCATGCCACAGCACAGAGGTGGTTGTCTCCCATGCGCCATGCGCGTGCGAGCACACCTCGGCGTCTTATCGCCAGAGCTGTGAATATCCACCAAGCGAAAGCAGCATGCCAGATGCCCCCTCTGGAGGCTTGCGGAAGAAAGTCACAAAAGGGCCATGCGACGAGCCTGGCTCACCGCCGCCGCCGCCCCCGCCTCCGCCACCGTCGGCACCCACCACGGCGATGCCGAAGCAGTCAGGCCAGGTCCGAGAGCCGCCGGTTTGGTCTTTCCTGGATGAGCCCTCGCGGAACGCGTTCCGCGGGGCACTCGAACAGGAGGTGAAAGCGACCGGCGAGCTCAATGCGACCATGGTCGCAAAGCTCGCGGTGCGCTTCACGATGAGCAAGTTCATCGTTGCGGAGCTTTGTTACTTCCTGCTGACCAACGGGGCCAAGACCGAGGAGAGTTGCATCAACCCGCGCTGAGAGGTGGATGCGCGCCAGGTAACCTCAGCCCACCTTTGGGGCTTCAGTGGCAACATCGTCAAGAAGATGGTGGAACAGGAAACGACCCTCCAGGCCGTCCACGAGTCCGAGGAGCGCGACCGCGAGCTAGCGAAGGCCAAGGAGAACTTCGACAGCATCCAGGTTGAGCTGGCCGAGGCCAAGGATAATCTCACCAGGCGAAGAGGGACCAGCAGAAGTTGGGCAAGGGCGCGTCGCAGCCGGGTCAACCAGGCGACGCCCCACCCCAGGCAAGGCCCCCGCGCCGCCGCCCACGCACGCCGTACCAGAGGGCGGGGCGTTGGAGCCGGGGCCGCCCCATCAGGGGTTGACCTTGGTAAGGTGTTCCTGAAAACCCATCAGGAGCTACAGGCCGCTTGCGCGGCCTACCACCAAAGAGCGGCCAGGCTGGCGGCCAGTGGCAACACCCACTTCACTGCGTCGTTCGCCCCAGGCTTCCAGGCGACGCGCGACTTCCACGACCGCGTAGCGGGAATAGGGGCCCACGTCGTCGTGGACTCCGGCGCGGGGGCTGCGACGACAGCACTCACCGCACCCTTCGCCCACATCGGGGGTGACAAAGCTCAGCCGTGCCTGCAGGTGTACTGGCGACTCACGTCGGAGAAAAAGACGAGCATCCAATGGCGCCCGCCAGACGGGGAGTGTGTCGAGAGGCGTCTGGAGCTCTTCCTTACCTTCTTCGGCAAGCCGCTGGAGGTGGACGGATCCGCCCTCAAATCCAAGGCGAAGCCTGCCGCGGGCATAAGCATCATGGACGCGCTGCGCAAGTAGCTAGGCAGCGCAGCGGTGCTTTTCTGAGCAGCCCGCCCTGGCAGGGAGGGCGCACCTGGAGGCGCGCAGGCCAGCCAGTTGTAGCGGGTTGGCCATCATCGATCGATTGTGGTGCAGTATGAGCAGGGGGCCTGAACACGTGGTCATGAATGCCTGCGCGTGCTGCCTGCGCTGCTTTGCGCTCTCGTTGCTTCTTTGCTGCCTCTTCTTTCCCTCCCTCCTGTTGTCTTTTCCTCCCTTCTCCCTTCCCTCCCTGTCCTTGCCCCCCCCCCCTCCTCGTCCCCCGGAAGCTTCTATCCGACGGCGACCTCGCCTTGGCCATGATGATCTTTTGGGCTGCAGAAGCACAGTCATAGAGACCCGCAGCTGCCAGCGGCGGGCGACAGCACGACGGTGCACAATCTTGTGGTGCAGCGTTGTGCTTCGATATCGCGTTACTTTGCTCAATATTGTTTGCATTGGACGGGCTCCACTGTGGCCCGGATCAGGGGGGCCAAAAATATCGCCACCTCGCACATGTCCTTCACCTTCGAGCCCCTTGTTTTGTCACGGACTCGGTGCGCGGCAGAAAGTGCCATAGAGTTAACGATCCCCCGGGCGCACTGCTGAATAAACGCTGGTGGGACCCTAACGTCAACCGCCAGCGGCGGAGGGAACAAGGTTGCGTATACTGCGCTGCGTTGCACCGTTTGTTTGCATTGTTTGCCCATGCCGGGGGCGCAGCCGTTGCTTCACGCGTGCGTTGCATGGATATGTTCGTCGATGTTTGGGGGATTGGGATTCGTTTGCTCTGGGGCCCCTCTTCCGTGCCTGGGTGTCCAGTGCAGCCCCCGTGGGTGTGAAGGGGGCACGATTTGCCCGCTCCGGTTGGGCTATCGTTGTTGTGCATACACGGCCTTCCCCTTGGCCTGTGGAGTTGAGGGAGGGGTCGCGGCCCTGCCGTCGGTCCCCGGCTGATTACCGGCCCGGCCACGCTGCCAGGACATGGATCGCGGCGCTTGCGCTTGCTACTTGGATGGCCGCGGCGGCTGCTAGGTGGTTAGCGCGGATACTAAGGGGTCAGAGGGTTTAGTATGTACGTACAAGTGAGTTGTAAGTAGGTTATCAGTGTTGTAAGTAGGATGTACGTTGTATAACCAGCTATTAGCTACTACTGGTTAGTAGGAGATACTAACCACTTATAGCTGGAGGCTAACCTTGCTAAGTCTCTAGTAGAGATTAGCTCGCTAAGCCCCCACTCTAGCTACCACTTAATAACCACTTAGTAACCACTTAGCTGCCACTTAGTAACCACTTAGTAACCACTTGCTAGCCACTCAGTGACCACATGGTGGGTCCGCTAGCTAGCTTGCTTACTGGGTGGTTAGCGGATTTACTAAGTGGTTAGCGGACTCTGAGAAGGAGACGAAGGAGGAAGAGGAGGAAGAGGAGGAGGGGGAGAGAGGAGGAGGAGGAGAAGGAGGAGGAGGAAGGAGGAGGAGGAGGAGGAGGAGGAGGAGAGTGTCGAGGAGGAGGAGCAGGAGGAGCAGGAGAGGAGGAGGAGGAGGAGGAGGAGGAGGAGGAGGAAAGGGGGAGGCGGCGGCGGAGGCGGCGACGGGCGCGCCTCAGCCCAAGACGGCCGCTCGACGCGGCGGCCCTGCAGGGCCGCCGCGTCGAGCGGCAGCCTGGCGCGGCTGAGCACGGCGCAGGCGAAGTTCGCCTGCGCCGCGCTCTGCGCCGCCATCTCCAGCGGCATTGCCGCTGGCGCGGGCGGCGGGGGGGGCCCCGCGCGCCGCTCGGCAGCCAGAGCGGCCCACCGCACGTAGCCGTCGTCCACAACCCAGAGGGTTGGGGGACGACGACGTGCGACGGGCCGATGGCTGCCGAGCCCGTCCCACCCCTCGGGGATGTCGAGGAGGATCCCCGACATCCCCGAGGGGTCCTCCGAGAGGAGACTGCCCCATGGCTCGGGGTCGCCATCGAAAAACATGTCTTGATATGTTTTTCGATGGCGATCCCGAGCCACGAAGCAAAGGGAAAAGGGAGGGCGCGCCCCCGCGCGGCCTGTAAGCCGCACGCGCGCGGGCGGCGTCTCCTCCTCCTCCCTCCTTCTATCCTCCTCCTCCTCCTCCTCCTCCCTCTCCTCCTCCTCCTCCTCCTCCTCCTCCTCCTCCTCCTCCTCCTCCTCCTCCTCCTCCTCCTCTCCGCCTCCTCCTCTCGCCCTCCTCCTCTCGTCATCATCTACTCCTCCCTCGTCCTCCTCCTCCTCATCCTCCTCCTCGTCCTCCTAACCCTCCGCTCCTCCCTCGTCCTCCTCCTCCCTCCCTCCTCTCCTCCTCCTCCTCCTCCTCCTCCTCTCCTCCTCCTCCCTCCTCCTCCTCCTCCTCCTCGACACCTCCTCCTCCTCCTCGTCCTCCTCCTCCTCCTCCTCCTTCTCCTCCTCCTCTCGCCCTGAGCTATCTCGTCGTCCTCCTCCTCCTCATGCTCCTCCTCCTCCTCCTCCTCCTCCTCCTCCTCCTCCTCCTCCTCCTCCTCCTCCTCCTCCCTCCTCCCCTCGTCAGAGGAGGAGGAAAGGAAAAGGAGGAGGGGGAGCAAGATGAGGAGGAGGAGCAGCAGCAGCAGGAGGAGGAGGAGGGGGAGAACGGGGAGGATGAGGGGAAGGAGGAGTTTGAACGACCGCACCACTGATCAACGACATTAGCGCTGCAGCGCAAGAGGAGGCGGAGGAACGAGGCGGAGAAGAGGAATCGGCGACCATGCACTGTTCAGGTGCTGCAGCACCGAAGTGTCAATGAAAAAGGTGCGCGACAGCGCCATGCAGAAGGAATCCACGTTTTCAAGGCGGAGAAGAGGAGTCGTCGACCATGCAACGTTCAGGTGCTGCAGCACCGAAGCATTTAGCAATGTAAAAAAGTGCGCTGCAGCGCCAGTAAGGAATCCACGTTTTCAGCTAAAGCGCACCACCGCGGCTGCGACCATATCGGGCGCGCCGCCCGGATGCCGCCGCCCTCGCGCGGCGCCCACGCGAGCGATCACACGATGCTCGCCGTGTGCGCCCAAAAGGCGTCGGCATCGCCGCCAAGCACGTGCGCGGAGGCG